CAACTCTTAAACGAACCAATTTTTTCTGTTTGAACTCGACTCGATTAACAAAAGAACGAACTTTTATTCGCCGACGTTTGGTTCTTTAACAGCCCACTGCATTTAAAAAAAAAGAATAACATGCTTAATTATTTGACTTAAAAAAAAACATGCTTAATTATTCGACTTTTTAATTATTGATTTGATTTTATTCTATAGAGGGATATGATTGTTATGCTGATAAAACTTTTAATTGTTTGATTGATTTTACTCTGTAGGGTGATGCTGAAGAAGATGATTGTTATTTTGATATACTGAAAGATAATATAATTGAGCTTGATGAAAATGTTGAAGGACTAAACACATCAAAACCCGATGTGGGATTTAACTACGCTTTCCAAGGAACAGCAAATCGTCGTCTGAGATTACGAAGGGAAAGACCAAAATCCGAACAAACCGAACAAAATCATAAACTACCTATTGGAATAGCAAAAATGTTGCAAGAACAAAGACAAGAGGAAATGAAAGCTGAACAAACAGAGTCTTCAGAAACAGAGGAATCATATTATAGACCATATGTTATGATAATGTTTATGTTTGTGTTGGTTTTTGTAATAGGAGTTGTTTTTTGGAAGGGACCATGATACTATTGATTTTGTGAGTGATAGTTATGAATAGTAACAATAAAAGTTTTGAATGTAAAAAGAATGTTAATGATGTTTGGTATGATCTGATTTTCATAAAATAATCCTCACATAATTTGCTAATATTCATAATTAGACATGGCAACGGGCCGGCTTGGAACTGGCCCAGAACCGGACCGTGGTCAACGGGTCTTAAACCGAGCCAGTAGTTTGATCGGGCCTGTTGCAGGCCACACATTTTTAGTTTTCAACTGCCGAGCGGTTCCGAACCTAACCGACAGTTCGCCCTGTTTAAAAATAATAATAATGATAATATTTTATAATTTAATTTGTATTTTTTTATTGAATCGGCTCGGTTTGGAACTGTCGGTTCATTGAACCGGCCTGTACATATGTTCCGGCCAGCTCAAGGCCCTTCAATCCTCGGCCCGAAATTGGGAGATTGCCATGTCTAATTCATTTAGTAGATGTTATTAAAATTGAATCCTAAAAGCCCATATTATTCTTTTTTGTGCTCGTATTATATCAAAATACTGAAGTATGATCAAATGAGAATGTAAAATAGTGAAACAAATAAGAATCAACGATAGTCATCGAACGTGATATATTAACGCTCTAATATAGTTCACTGCTCCAGCATTGGTCAAACGTGCATGACAGTTTCGTAATATTGCATACTTGTGATTTTTATGCAGTGGTATTTTCATTATTTTATGAAAATACATTAGTTTTGCAATGTGTATTTTCGTTATATTAATGTACAATTCGTCTAACATTATTAGTAAATTACGCTTGTATAAAATGATCATCAATCTTCATTTACGAAATGTTATTCAATTCATGTTTTTTTCTATCTTTAATTTTATATATTGAAAAAAAAAATTATTATTGCTGACATATTTCTCTATAAACTTTCTTACTTATCCATTAGTATATTTATAACTAATTTTTCTACATTTTTTTGTTTTATATTATTGCACCCTACATATTTACTACACACATATGACATACCAAAACATATTTTTATTTTTTTTCTTATTCTATCCTCAATCTTCATCATTTTAATAATTAATAAAATGCTCCTCAACAAGCATTGTTTATCAATGCTTTAAATACTACACACATATGACATACCAAAACATATATATATATATATTTTATTTTTTTTTCTTATTTAGGATTCTATCCTCAATCTTCATCATTATAATAATTAATAAAATGCTCTTCAGCAAGTTTATCAATGTTTTAAATACCATACGGCCGTATTGTATCGGCCGGTATTATTGCTAATATCGGATACCGGTGGTCCGATCGGTACGGTTACTCTCTAAATACTGTTTTTGCCAAAATATCGGTTAATATCGGTTTCATACCGGAAAATGCCGGTTTTATCGGCCAAAATACCGGTCAAAATACGAGTTTATGCCAAATTTTTTTAAAAAAATATTTTTAATATATTTTTATTATTTTTTTATCATTTTAAATTGAAAGTTCTACACTTAATTTTAATAGGTTTACATTGTTATTAGATGTTAATTAAATCCATATATATATAAAAAAATTAGCATTTACTAAAAATAGTATCAAAAAAATAGGAAACATTTAATGCATACTATTTTTGGAAATTTTTTAAATATATGCATTAATTGTTTCTATTTACACGTTTTCAAATAAGATCAAATAACATATGATCAAATAATTACTTAAATAAATATATTAATATCTGCAGTATTTTCATTGATATTTATTATAATAAATTACATGTGATTTTCGTGATTCATGTTGATAATATTTTGGTCAAAATAAATATTATTTTATTAATATTTGTAATACTTTCATTGATATTCATTATAATAAATTACAAAATTGATTTATGTGATCCATGTTGATAATATTTTGGTCAAGATAATATTACACCATATTTTAAGTTTTGACCATAATATTAGTTTTTTTTTTTTTTTACAAATATTCACTTTTTATACAAAAATATTTATGGAAAACCGTAACAGGTTAGGGAGAATTTTTTTCCAAGTAATTAGACAAAATCAAGTTGGTGAATTAGTCTTTGTCAATATATTTGTTTCTTAAGCTTTATTTTGTTAAATACAAAAAAACAAATCGTTCTTCAAATTAATATAATTTACCATTTAAGAGATAATGACCAGATACAATAAATAGTTTTACTAATGGTAAAAAATTAAAATTGAAACATATTGACTATTGTTTAGAATTTATTCGTATATTATTGACACCCATGATTATATTTTTTCATTTTTTATTTTTATTTATTTCTATAATTAAATTCTTGTAAAATATATTTTCATTGCTCAGTATGTTAAATAAACCATAAATCCTTATAATGCGAATTAGAAAAATCTTGATCATAGAGGGGATCGAGTTTTTGGCATTTTCTAAATCAAAATTGTTTAATTAGTATACAAAATTAAATTCTAAAAAAACATGTGTATATTTTGTAAACTATTTATACACTATTTAATATTAAATTTATTTATATATTTTAAATTGATTACATAAATAAATAATACCAACGTGCATTAAATATTTTTCATTACATAAAATAAAAATAAAAAGAAGACGACAACTTCTATAACTTTATAAATAATAATGATATTATATGACATAAAGTGTATAATAAAATAATAATTAAGTATTATATGGTGAACAAGAATAAGTAAAATTTCTATTCTCTCTTATATCAAGGAATAAATATATATACTAAAATCAAATTTAAATTAGGATAAATGTGTTAATGAAATAATATATTAATTATTTTAATATTTTAACTAAAAAAATAACGTTGATTAAAAGATGTGCAAAATATATTTTATAACCTTATTGTTTATTATACTTAACGCTGATTAAAAGAGCTGAAAAATAAATGATAATCCTATTGCTTATATACTTAAATGGACAAATCATGTGAAAATAACTCATTTAATATCTATGTCCCGTGCATCGCACGGAGTACGTACTAGTTTAGTATTAATTAAAGTTAAATTTTGTACATTATTTATATTGTAATAACAAATTAATTTAATATTTATTAATACCGGTAAACTAGACGGTAAAACCGGTCGAACCGGTTGAACCGCGTACCGTTGGCTCGTCCGGTATAATGACCGGAAACGGTATTTAAAACACTGCTGTTTATCTTAATCATGCTTAAGACGTCACCACTTTACTGTCTGCATTTGTAATATCTCGTCTCTTTAATTCCTAAAACTCAAATCACCAGACACAGCAAGAGCTCCTCTCGAACAGTTTTCAACATTTGTATCGATATTTTTTTTCCTTAGATGCCGTCGAAATTGAGCCCTGATCTGTAAGTCTTAGCTCTACTTCCATCTCCACAAATTCTGAAATTTCTGCATCTTCTTTCACGAGGGAGTAAATAGGATAATCTTGACGTGCATTTTGTTCGTGTTAGGTTTTCAACTGTTTTGTCTAAATTCGAGCTCAATTTGATATTTTATTTGGCCCCTTTTCTGATTTGAAGGGTTTGATTTCAGAAATAAAAAGGGTTACTGAGATGGGAGTTCGTCTGTTTTCTGGAATTTGTTAATTATCAGCTTAGATGTAATAGTAACAAACGGGCAATTTATGCATTTTGTTCGTGTTAGGTTTCAACTGTTTTGTCTAAATTCGAGCTCAATTTGAGATTTTAGTTAGCCCCTTTTGATTTGAAGGGTTTAATTTCAGAAATGAATAGGGTAACTGTGATGGGAGTTCATCAGTTTTCTGGAATTTGTTAATTATCGGCTTAGATGGAATCGTAACGAATGGGCAAGGTTTATCATGCTCAAAGGCAGCAAAATTCATGTAATGAGTTATCTGGGGTTTTGGTTTAACTAACATTTGATTTTGTTAAGAAACAATATATGAATCTTTCGATTCAATGATGTGAAAACTATGAAGTTATTCGAGTTGTTACCTCTTTCCATTTTTGGGCTATGCTTTTTCGGGGTGTAATTTATGGGTTGTTCTAACTTCTACGTTTATTGTTTACTCCCCTCTTTTGTGTTATAGGGTAGATTGAAGGGGGTAGAAAATTATGAAGTCATTCGAGTTGTTACCTCTAACAATTATTCCCTCTGCTTTTCACGGTGTGATTTATGAGTTGCTTTATTTTATGTGCATTGCCCTCTTTTGTTTTAAAGGGTGTATTGAAAGGGATAGGAAAAAAATGTCGAGGCCAGCAGTGCTTGTTTTTCTGTTGCTGGTTTTGATTATCACTTCTCAGTTCGAATGGAGGCAACAGTTGGTGAATGAGGCCGATTCAACTTCTGGCGAAACTCAAAAGCGTCAGAAGATTTCGGAAAGAGAAGAAACTGTAAAAGAAAAGGTAACTTTGCGTTTTTACTGTCAATTGTCAGTAAATTTGATTGTGTCGTAAAAGTAGGTTTTGGAACAATGAGTTTGAGCTTTTTTTATCTACTGCTCGAGCAGCTTTATTTTGTTTGTTTTTCATTATGTTGATAGTTTACGTGCAAGCCTTTTTCTGTACTTCAGTCTTCATATATATTGTTTCGAATGTCACTGCAGATTGCCGTGTGCTGTTATAGTATACAAAATTGTTAAAGCTATTGTTGAAAAATTGCCACCAATTTTTTTGCGTAAAGCTTTTATGCATTTTCTATGCACTTTTTTCTTCTCATGTAGCTGTGTAGATTTTAATTCTCAAATTCTTTTTTCCCGGATATTGAAACGAGTAGTCTAAGTTAGGATGTTGAAACTTGAACGAGTAGTTTGTTGAGCTTAAGCGGCTGACCTGAAGTGGGATATTGAAACGAGTAATTCTAAATTAGGATGTTTTTGTACTCAAATTTCACTCATCTCCACTCTCCTCAATATTATCAAAATAAGTCAGTAATATCAATCAAGCATCCTCCAAATCACATCAACTTTAATTCACTATTCATCCACTCACATAATTTTAACTACTCGTCACCTCCAATCACCCTCTCTCTTAATTTTACATCAAATCAACATTAATAATTTTTTATTTACTATTTTAATGCAAAATCAAAATCCCACTCAAACTTGAACGAATAAATGTACTCAAAATTAACTCTGTTTAACTAAAAAATTCAATCAAAACTAGTTTAGGGCTTATCATTCTCTTTCATTCTAACATCCTCTTCATCTTCATCTGATAACATCCCCCAATATTTTACATTCTATTTATCACTGGGCGAAATAGCTGCTTGAATGTTCGGTTACTTTTGTTGTATGCTAACAAATGTTGAAGATTCTTTTGTTATATGTACAGATTATCTTATCACAAGAGAAGAACATACAAGTGCTTACCGAGCTCGTCCGGAGTTTAAAAGAACAGCTTCATTTGTGCAAAGGTAGTAATGAGACAGCCAACGGGACTTTCAGCTCTTAATACTTGAGAAAGTTGCAGAGGAACATCGAATTCTGTAAAGCCTAATAAACTGCAGGCTTGCTCTTGGATTGTGTTCCTATATAAAAAAAAGTTGTTCTGTTTTGCAACAACTTGTTAAATGCTACTGTAAAAAAAGTTCTGTGGGGCTGTAATCTTATTTTGGTGTCCAAATACTAAAAAAACATGATGTTGTAATTGCATTTCTTTAGATGAATGCTGAGAAGGTACTTATATTTAAGGGTTAATTAAATAAACCTAGTTTGACAATTTTATCCCAGTCTTTGGGTAATTGCAATATAATCCTGACCTCAATTTACTTATTGCAAGTCGAACCTAAAACCGGTTGGAACTTCAAAAAACTGGTCGATTTGAAGGCGGTTCGAACAGATCGGAGGAGCTCATATTTACCGGTTCATTCCAGATCTAGGAGGAGACTCATCACCGGTAGCTTACATTGACGTGGAATTTTCGGCTTTGTGCTTGGATATACATTAAATACATGAAAATTGTCAACTTGCTACGTGGATGACATAAAAACCCGTGTCAATGGAAGACTTGGACACAAAATCGATCCATAAATTCCTAAAATCAATCCCTCTTCACCCAAATTTGCAATAAGTAAATTGAGGTCGAGATTATATTGCAATTACCCAAATATTAGGATAAAATTGTCAAACGCAAAAAGGTAAAAGTAAAGGTTAAGGTTTATTTAGCAATTAACCTTATATTTAATGCATATAAATTTTATCTGATTAGGCTGAAACTAAGAGGTAGTATACATAATTTCTTCTCAAAATGGTACTTTATAATTATGTTAATGCCAAGGTGGACTGTATATTAAAGAAAATATACAGTATTATTACAAAAACACGATTATAGATACTAATGACACGACGAGGATAATACGAAACACAACACAAAAGGTACCAAAAATAAATTAGTTAAATTTTAATTTAGTATCATATTTATGTTCAAATAAATACATATAACATATAATCAAAAAAATAAAATAAAATAAAATATATAACACAGAACACTATATTAAAATACGAACTGACGACATGAAAGAATAAACACGATTTATCCCCACCTTTAGTAAATCACAAGCCCTAATCATTTTCATAATTTGGGAAAATGGGCGATCTGATCAATTTTTTTAGAGGAATTTGCACTACATACTAAATATTATTCTTTATATTACACATATACATTCCATATATATTTATTTGCAAAACTACCAAATGTATCATAATTATTTACACATATACCAGTGTTTTAATGTCCTTCAAAATTATGGAATGTTATAATAATAATTTTCTCCTTATATTTGAAACAAAACTTCTCCCAAACTCACGTCTGCTCTCTCTTGTCAAAACCCTATCGAGAAGACAAAACGCCCTCAAAATCATCGAAAAAACACCGACTAGCGGGATGGGTTTCATGGATCTGTTTAAGATGATTGTCGGAGACCCATGTGGTTGAAGAATGAGGGCTTTAAAGATGACATGTCGACTCCGAAGGTTGAATTAGATGCAATCGAGACATTGTACCAACAGTGGTTTCATGAGCCATCCGAGGGTGAAAACAGGAAGCAATTGATGCCCCCAAAAATAGATGGGCGGTGAGAAATAGGGGAAAAGTGACCACTGAATGTCGTGATTGTTATCTGTAGCCCTCCTCCCAAATGAAGATTATTTATTTATTTATTTATTTATTTTGCCATGCTATAATTTTGCTAATGTCAATTATGTTAACAATATTCAGTATATTGTAAGTTTTTTTTTGGGAGGAATGAGAATTGATTATTTATATCATTTTGTTTGTTGTTTGCCTATGATATACATCATGGTTTATGTTAAATTGATTTCTAGCTTATGAGTCTAGACTTTGTATTTTTTTTATTTTTTTATTTTTTTGTTCAATGGAAACTGAATGATTTATTTTCAGTATATTATTAGTCATGTTTTACTGTTTCCATGTTTTTTTTTCCTCATGACATTAATAGGAAGAATTTCGATATGTAATAGTTAAAAGTTATATTCAAGGTTTATAATTCGTATTTTTTTGGTGTATTCTGCTGTTAAAAATTTATAGTCAGGTTTATAGTCAGTATATTTTCAGTATATTCAAGGCTTACTGTCTCCATGTTTTTTTGTTTATTGCCATGCTATAATTTTGCTTATGCCAATTATGTTAACAGTTTTCAGTATATTGTAAGTTTTTTTTGGCAGGAATGAGAATTGATTATTTGTATCATTTTGTTTGTTGTTTGCCTATGATATATATCATGGTTTATGTTAAATTGATTTTTAGCTTATGGGTCTAGACTATGTAGTTTTTTTTT